TTGCAATGACCAATTAACAGTTTGTTTCTTTAAGCTTACTGGGTTTAGGAACTGATTATACAGCTGTAATGCACAACTGAGATTGTGCTCGGCATGAAACGCTGGGTTTTGACCCACATACCCTGATGGCGCTGTACTGGAAACTCTAAAAGAAGCAAAGGTGTCCTGAAAAAGAATTTTCATTAACACAATGCTGTGAAATCTTCACTTCTAGTGTCAAAAAGTCAATATATTTGACACTACATCTTGAGAAAACAAATATTTGCCATGAGTGTTCAATGACTGACAGATTAAACTTACATTCAACCTCCACTACATAATTATTACTTCCTTCTTCCCAAGAAGAGGTAAATCAGAAATCATGTTCATTTCCTCCCCCTTTACACTCATGAAAATGGTACATGATGAAACATGCTTCCTCAAAACTCTAGCAGTCCAGCTAGAAGAGAGGATGAGGATGGTATTAAATTATGCTGCCTAACTGCAGCAGTTTACTGTCGGAAAAAATTAAGCATCAAAGCTGCTTAAAGAGACAACAATAAGAAAGACACAGGATGGTCATTCCCTACCTTCATATTCAATGTCAGAAATGTTCTGAAGCAACATTAATATAATTTTTAACTATTTAAAATGCTTTGTTTAAAATAAATAAYGAATTAAAGTGTTTCTTTACATAGCACACTTCTTATTGCATGGAAGTTAGGACATTTCTTGCCTTTCCCTGGGCTTTGCCTTACTTACAGAGTTTCCCTACCTAAGCTTCCAGCTACACTGCAAAACAGAATTATTGCCCACAAGCCTGGGCTTGACTAAACTGTTTGGCAGAGGATAGATAGCAGGAATCAAAAGACAAAAGCCAGGTTTCCATTCCCATCATCCATTGCCCAATCAGAGCTTGAATCAATGATAAAATTTATTTTATAGAAAACTTAGAATTAATGTAAGTTGTATTGGCTGAAGATCACCACAGCACTGAATTTCACTATCCTTACCCTTTCTCAACTGAAAGTTCTCCGTGTTGTGGACAGGCTAAGAAGGAATACCTAAAGCCACAGTGCCAGTCTTGTGTCCCATTACATTGCTTCAGGATTTTCAACCTTATGTGTTCTTRTGTAAGGGCAGGTTTTACCATCATGCACTGAATAAGCACAACCAAAATAAGAATCAAAACTTACCTTTAGAATCATTTTAATAGAAACAGTATTGTATACCATGGAAAGTATTGCTACAATGCAAGTTTGTGAGGAGAAAGAGAACAGAAGAAAAAAGCCAACACCAAATTGAAAATTAAGGTAAGTATGTTAGCTTAGATTAATACCTCTTTTCTCCTGTTGTGCCAGAGTGTGGTGGGCAGGACACAAATTGAATTGAAGTTGAAGAAAGGATTAAGGTAGCAGGCAGTAATCAACACTGCAGTTTGGGTATGTGCTCTGCACAGATGTGAAACCACAGAAGACACTACTGAAGGCACTTAAAATTATGTCACTGAARCCTCAAATTAATAAAAACATTCTGTCTTCAAGGCCTGTAACAGATGGGAACAACTTTAAAACTGGCACATGTTCTCTTTTATGACAAGGACAACTCCATTGTTTAAAACACCACTAAGCTAAAAACTGTATGCATCSATGTGGCTCTACCCAGAACACAGAGTTATTTAACACTACAGTTTCAGAAACTGTTTTTATGCTACAGCTTACAATATTCAGCTGTGGACTGCAAAATTATGTATCGTGTACTAAAGCAGAAAAAAAATAGCTAATTAAGAAAAATGGTCCTTTACCAAAAATACGTTTAATTTTGCTTAGCCAAGTTTTCCTCCATTATTTTATTAAAAACCAAAAATATTAAAGCCTACTTTGCTGAAGGCAGTATAAAGATTCCTTTTCCTGAARAATCATCCAAGGGAAGTTTTACAASTTGGGAATTTTTTGAAAGTTCTGATGTTTTTGACTTGACCTGAATAACCGCAGTAGAACACTGACTAATACTGAGAATCAAGAAAATTATCCTTCCATGGTAAATAGGAATTTGTATATGCTATTAAAGAAGAAAGTGACTTAACAGATCAAAAGATTAAATTTCCCACATCTCTTTGTACCGCTCCCAACTATCAACCTGCCAGCAGACAGCACAAAGTGTATACCACTGAAATCTGTGCTTTAGGCTAATAGACTGTTCCCATTCTGGATACTGGTTTAAACCTATCCAGCTTCTGCTGGAAAACTCATCTACATTGAGTCTGCTGTCACAAGCAGGAGAAAAAAAAATAGCTAAGCAATGAGATAGCTAGAGAATACATCATCAGTCCTGATTACTGCAACAGTTCTCAGAAYTTCCCTATTTTCAAAACTGTGCAAAAAATGTCCCTATCCTTTTCTTAATTGAAAAACCAAATATCATCAACTGAACTGGCTTAATTTACTTCTGAAATGCTGGTATGAAAAACCACAGAAATGTAAAATTTTACTTACTTGAGAAAATGCAAATTATAACCAAATAAATCATAACAGGGTACAATGAGCTGTGCACTTTAAATTCAATATTTACAAAGCTAGTGGATCTGTGAAAACAGAGGATTAGAATCCTCTGACATGAATATGCTTTGAGGATAAAAACAAAGTAAAGATTMATTTCTTCTCCTTCTTCACAAGGATCTAGTACATTTGCCTTCTGCATTCCAGACCTTAGTATAGCTTTGCAGCTGTACAAAYAATTTTTTTCTGTTCTCTTAACAAGCGTTCCAAATTTCTTATTTGTTCTTTATTATGAGACCAGGTAACAGCAGGGATAATGATGCTCCACCCTTTAACCATGAAAGGAAGAAAGAGTAATTCACTTACCTGGGAAAATAGAAAGGACAGCCAACTGTAATTAAATGCAACCCTTCAGGCCTAATTAAAGGAGATGAGACCAAACTGGARTTTCTTTTACCACCAAGTTTAGATGAACAGCAATACAAGAAACAAACACAGCCTACTCCTGTGAGGTTTGTCAACTAGCATTTCATCTAACACTCTTCAAAATGATATGGATTAAGAAGAGAAGGACTCTATAAAGCATCAGAGTCATAAGTCTGTAATTCCATTCAGCACAYCTATGGAAGATAAAAAGACTAAATAATCACCTAAATTGCAAACTTGTGCTTCATCTTTACTTAGTTAGATCAACACCTCACAATCAAAACTAAGCACTCCCCTGAAAAAGGTAAAATGGTCTTTCCTGAAAAGTTGGTGATTCAAATAGATGAGATGGAAAAAGCATAAGATAAAGGAAGATAATTCCTACTTGATAACATGAAAAGTATGCACACTCCAAGATCAAAGGGAAATAAATTAATTTTACTAAAAACTGAAACTAGATTTCTTTGTGATGTTGTTACATTTCAGGTTTATTACCCACATTAGGAGATAACAGCTCCTGGAAAGCTGACATAAAAATGGGATGTAAATGAAAATACTCTAAATTCCTGCAGAATCACACCAAGTCAGCAATTCTCTGAAGACAGAGCTCAAAGCAAAGAACTCAAAGTCTATATTAAACCAATGTCCTTCTCACAATGTTTTATGTATTACTGCTCCAGATTTGACAGTCAAATGAACAGGTAACAGTAGTAAAGCTCAAAAAATTTATCCCAGGATATATATAGAGCTTCTTTAACAAAAGCATAAGCAAGCATACCAGACCACTTTCTGTAAGAACCTCAGCATCCAAAAAGCACCGTAATAAGGTTTGGATGTATCTTGTAGCTATAAGATTAAGCCCTGTAATGTATATTTTTATATTCACTGCAGAGAATTTTTTAGCATGCATGATACACTGCATTCATTTCAGCAGAACAGGCATTCTGTGTTGAAGCAGTCTAAGTACAATTCAAATATACGGAACAATGAAGAAAATCCAGCTCTTAAAGATCTATAATTTATATCTTATAATTTTATGGYATTCATTTTCACAAAATGTTTGTTTTTTATCCATTTATTCACTGAAATGGCCTTAAATTGAAAACCAAGACAAAGTGTAAAATGTTATTTTCTCCAACGTATTTCCTCTCTCCAAATGTTCTTTTTTACCTAATAGATGCAGAAAGTTAGTGTCACATGACACAACTAATTTTTCTTCTCAAATTATTGCTGATAATTGCATTGCTCCAAACAGCAAGGGGTACCGAACTCTATTTCATGCAAAGTAATTATTAATTGTCATATCACTTTAAAGTATCATTCAACTAATGATAACTGAATTTTTTTTGAGAGCTTCCTAAAATTTAATAACAATCAGCCGCCTTTCTCCTAGTACTTGAATATCTATAAGCAAGAACTTTTGCCAAGCTCTTTTTCTTTTGTTTTGCCATCTGACAGATACAGYTGCACATTTAGAGCCATAATTATTYGACCTCTCTGGAAAGTCCACAGTAAAAAGTTTATGTATAATCACAGCCATCCTGGAAAACATGAAACAGAACAGCGTCAATACTCACATCGCTTTCTTTGCAGTTCATTTCCAGAGTCCTTTCAAACAAATATACTGTTTACTTGCAGGATTTTAATACCATATATTAGGCAGAAGCTGRTAACATTTGGAATGGTAGAGAACTTTTGCTTAACAGCAACACCAAAATGAATAAAGAAAAAAAAAAAATGGGCAAGCTGCTGGAAAAAGCTTGCTTTTCAAAGCAAGCTTGCCTTTTTCAAAGGCTTTTCAATTTTTTAATTAAAAGAAATCGCATACTAGAAAATGTTAATGAGCCAAAAGTCCCTTGAGTTCACTTCTACAYATTCTGAGCTATTTTGATGCCCCTGCTAAAGAAAACTGAACTGTTCTCGCTCAGAACTGAAGACATTCTTTTTTTCAATGTCATTGCAAAATCTGAAGTCTAAAAGTATCTTATTTGTTGTGTTACTTTACTCACTTGCTTTAAGCCACTCAGAGTTATCAAACTAGAAACAGAGAAGACAAAATTATCACAAGTCACAAAGTAAGAAAGAATTCAACAGTACCTTTAACTTCTTCATAAATGCTATCATCTGTCGGTTCACTGTTCACTTGTCCAACATCATCATATTCCTCTTCCTCCTCAGGAATAATATTAGATCCTGTATCTATGGAACAGTGGTTCAGAAAGTTAACATTTAATAGAAAAAAAATACCTAAGCAGAAATCATGCAAAATGAAAACAAAATTTTTCTATAACTTGTTCCTTCCAGTACATTCTGCCTTTTTTTTTTTCCCTCTGTTCAAGAGGAAAGAAAGAGTTTATATGAAGAAGCTTGTATAAGGGAGAGCTTGCAAGCTAAATAGTATTCTGGAAGAAAGACAAAAATCTTGAAAAAAAAGGAAAGACAAAAATCTTGAAAAAAAAGGAAAGTCTTATAAAAACTAGAACACAAATGAAAACTAGGACTTTCAATTGAGAACAAGGACTTTCTACTCAAAACTTGGACATGTGGGAATACTACATGTACTAACATGACAGATAAGTTAATGGACAGAACTACTGTCACTAAGTAGTACTGGCAATAAAGGTGACTGCTCWGCTGGCTGGCTTACCTTGAATTACRAATTTGACTTGCTGTACCCATTCCTCTGCTTCTTTGGGAGTGGCAGCTGCAAACTATTAAATGTTTATTAATAACTATTAGCAGTAATGACAAAAACACAACTACAATTTCATTAACAATAAAAAAGAGCGACTGTAACATTCTCGTCACTTCCTCAAGAAACCATTAGTAATTCTTTTCATGTCTTCTGGTACTTTTCTTGCAAGGATGCTTCTTATAATGTACAGCTAATTTTGACAAATTTACGTAATTGAAGGAGAGGATGATGGATTTGAAACTCTGATCAGCAGCTGGCAGCTGTGCAGAAAAAAGCTGCTTCTCTTCATCAATGTCAAAGCCAGAACTGATGAACAAAATTTGCCCTTGACAATTAGAAGACACCCATGAATTTCTTTAGACTGCTGGGTACAGTTTTCTTAAAAATGTTCTTGTCAGACTCCAACACACTACCTGACAGCTTAATTAACTGGCTTTCAACTGCAATCTCAGATATTTAAAACTTATTAAACTTACATTCCATATTGATGTCTAGCTGATAGATCTCTGAATTGCACAGCTGATATGTGCCTTTTCGTAGGTTTTCCTTGAAAAGCCATGACCAATACAATATGTATTTAACACTGATACATATTTTAACTTTCTTTTACTATTTAATTCATCCAAGAAATCACACAGACACACTATACAATAGATATTAAAATGCTAATATTGAAATGACCAATAGATAAAGATGATAGATTTCCTTGCTCTTGACCAAAAAGATAATATTTGAACACGTACATACATACTTTTAATCAGATTTTTTTCGTTAATATATGAATACACAATATAAGCAAGCATGGATTTCCTTTTTTCATTAAGATGTCAGTGACAGTTGTTTCACTGAAATGTTAATTCAGTAACTGGAATTGTAACAGCTTTATCAATTAAATTTCAAGTCAACATAAAAAAGTCCAACCTGATAAATGCGCTTATCTGGAGCAGAGATTTCAAAACAGCAATCTTTCTTTGCATCCTTCCGAAGGTTATTATTCATTCTGATGGTGTAGCCCTCTAAGGCAAATTCACCTTTCTGTTGTTTGTCTGTTGGAGATAAAAAACAAAGTTAGAGCTTCATTTACAACACTGAACGTAAGTGGCTCAGCAGGTTATCGCTTATTCAAATTTTGTTTTCTATTTCATGAATTTTGCAAAGAACAGGGAGGTTTTTAGTAAAATGATTAAGTGATGCTTCTRGAGATAAAGCTTTATTTTAAGGGAAGATGTACCCAAAAGCACATTTTTCTGTAGGATGCCTAAGGAATTCCACAGGGGGATGTTTGCAGATGGTGGTCTTATTTAGTAAGAAGTGCATGTTATGACACTTGTATCTAGGGAAAGCCAAGAACTGGAACTTGCAAGACACGTTTCCTATAAATCAGTGTCTCTTTCAGGTTCAGTAAACCAATGGGAAAACCTGTCTAGCTCAGAACTTGCTGAGCTCCCTCCTAAACYAACCACTTCACTCAAAAAATAAACTTCAAGCTCCTTTTTAAGCAATTGGAAAAGCTGCTTTTCACATTCGCCCACTCACTCCCAGATGTGCCTYCTTTCCACATGGCAAAAATACAGAATGAATTTTGTTATAGATTCAGGTCTGTGCGTCTGTGYTCATTCCAAAAGCATTTCTCTCAAAACAGCAAATGTTTAATTAGCTAATAAAAGTACTGAGCCCTACCACAGTTTATTATGTACAGCCATGTGGTTGCTGTAAAGACAATTTTACTTTTCAAAGGTTCTGGTTTTTAAAAGTATCACTTACAACAGATCTGACTTTAAATACACTGCATGTTGGGCAAGCGGCACCTGTGCACTCCTTTTGAGCCCTTCGGACCAAACTCTGMATCAGATTTTATGTGCTCTGGCATATTTTGGTGAATATTAAAAGCAAACCAAAAATGTAAAAGCAATTATGTTTTGCAATTTTTACAGATCACAGTGCAGCATTCAACTGAAGATAGGCATCATGACTCACATTTTGCACAGGCAAACAAAGTGCAGTTGCATATTTAAAAAAAAAAAAAAGCCATTTAGCGTGGGGTTTTTTTTACAGAAAAGGATTAATTAACAATAAGCACCAGGCACAGCAGCAAAACTACTTTAAGTAATGCTGAATCTAACTTAGGTGCAAATTAAGCATTGATTGCTTATGCTTGTCAACAAAAGGACAAAACTTCTACAGTAGATAAAACAGGAAAACTATAGTTTTCAACAAATTTTTGTCATATTTCTAGAATCTTTATAGGAAAGAAAATCTGTTTCCACTCCTGAGAGGGCAAAAATTGGCTAACACAGCAATGTGAACATAAATGCAYATAAGGGCAGTCACCAGTCAAACACTCTTGCTAGTAATCTTACATGCACATATACATATATTCTCTGTCCTTCCACCTTTTTATGAACTCTCACCCAGGRCAAGTAAATACCAAATAACACAATTATATGAGAAAATACAGGGCACTATTCTATTTTCACTTCTAGTCCCTTCCCCACAGTAAGTTTTATTCTGTCTTAAGTAAGTACTAATAATACCGTACTAATATTTCATATTTGCTCAATCTTCCACCCCTGTTTCAAACAGCACACACATGCAAAATTCACACCAAGGCAGATATTAGAAATAATAATTTGCAATAGGTTAACTAGGTCCCTTTTAATGAAATWTTCATTTCTGCCTAGGAATGTTTTTGTTCCCTCACCAGTGACCTCAGGGAGAAGATGAAGTGAAACACATCAATTTCTCACTCTCCCATGCTGGAGGTTTATCAAAACCCTAGAAGATAGGAGCATGCAGGCAGAATAAACAAACACGAGGTTCAAAAGGTAAAAACATTTTGTCAAGATAAAAATGAGGCAAGTATTCAAATTTACTCTCTTGGATTATTTCTGAGACTGCTTCTCTGTGACAYGGATGATCCCTTTTATGGTAATACACTTTTACAGAGCTAATCTCCAGTGATCTCTGCACYGGTACTCATTCTTTCAAAGAGCATTGCAGTTAAACCACAAAGATGCTGTATTTTGGAAAAGGATGGTGCATGCATCCATATCCCATTTGATTGTTTTGCTGTTTATATGGTTTTTATCTTATCTCCTTGAACACAATATTTTAGAGCTAATGAAAATTACCTGTATGCACCACCAAATATATATATATATATACATATATATATATATACACACAAAGATACACACACACACATATATATATATATATATATATATATATATCCTTTGCTATTATATTTTTCCAATGACCATTATAGCAATAGACTAGATTTAGCATTGTTACTTTTACTTCCAATTGTCTTAGCAGTAATCTCTGATTAAAGTACAGTGTGGCGTCATGCATATACCTAAAATGTTGAAAGTGAGGAAATTCTAAGACAATGAGATACTTCACAGCCCTGACTCAAACCTAYAAAAGCTGAGAGAAAGACTCAGTACACATTCACATTCCCTGTGGCAGCAAGCCAGAGACAAGACCTAAAAAYGGCTCCACAAATACCGAATGGCAGAACACAGGTCCAGCTCAGCTGCCTGCTCTGATGGTGACAAACAATGGAAGTCTACAAATCCTGTTTGCTCCTGCAGAATACACCTTTCCAGTTAGGACTGGAGGCCAACCACGGCCAAACCATGACCCACAGCAGCTGCTTGGCCAGGCACAGTAGATGCAGGCTCAAAGGCAGAGCTGTCCTGGGATCATCAGACTCCACAATCACCTCCATTTCACTTATCAGCACAGGCTTACAGCTAAATGGGGACAAACTTTTGGTTTCAAGATGCCCTGTGAAGCCGGTGCCACAGCAACTCCTGCGAACTTTCACATCCAGAGTTAAATTGTTTATATCAGAAATATTTTTGGGAGACTGTGCTTTAGAAAGAATTAAGCAGTTTCCAATATTTAAAAATCTTAAGACTTAAAGATTTTACATGGAGACTTAAAAATGGATATTGTTTGTTCTTATGGCAGGAGTCTCAACAGTAGCTTCAAGAAACACATTTACATTACAGAGATAGAACTTTCATTTTGAACCCCAAAATCGGAGCCAGAGTTTTGCTAAGGCAGAAATACAACAGCATATTTAGGAGAAACGAGGGAGACATATGCTGACAGAACACACTTCTCTGAAGAACAATAACATTTTTGCTGTCTATTATTTTCTCAAGATAGAGCTTTTCAATTCAACAACAGGAAAACCTTAAATTGTCCCAGAAAAACATAAAACAGAAATGCAAAAAGTGTGATATCAGTCTTGTAAAAGCAAAAACGATTGTGAACATCATCAAGCGAAGTTGTTCCACAATGAAGCCAAATCTCATTTCAACATAAGTTGTTCTTTGCACTCATCCGCTCACCCTCCTCCCTCCCCTTCGTCCCATGTCAGGCACACAACAGAAAAATAAATCTGTGCCTGTGCATATCATTTTGCAACAGGAATTTATAATAACAAAAAAGTAGTACAGCAGAGAGGAGAGTCAGGCACAACATATTTTTTTWAAAAATCAAAGCTAGCACACAGATACTTGAGAGAAATAAATATGAGAGGGGCTATATTTAAAATAGAGGAACTTCAGATCTGAATACAACTTGAAAGCCTTTAAACATTTCTCTTACATATAAAATTCATTCATCCTAAAAACAGTTAAATGTTGTTAACAACAGAAACAGAGCCAATATTATATTGGGTAAAGAGAGTCTCAAGGGAAGCAGAGRAAAAGCATTTTGAAGTAACCTTGCGTAACTAAGTCCATGGGAACATTTAAAACAAAGAAGGGTAAACCTTCAATGAGATCTTGAAATTACTGGGTTGTAAATTTGAAGCCTAAGGCGATGTGCTCATATTATTAGCACATGTAAGAAGAATTAGTGCACTCTGAAGAACAGAGGACTCGGATAGTAGAAAGGCAAGAAGTTACAGAGAAAGACATAAGGAACAAAGGCAAACAGAAAGATTTCAGGGAGTGATAAAGTATTTATAGATACTATTACAATTTACAATTAACTCTCTTCATCTTGAAATTAGGAGCCTGTAAGATTTTAGTTTACATGGCTTCATGCTAAATGTATTTTCACTTACTTTTCCATGTGCAGGCTGTCTGCTATCTAAAAATAGTTCAGTGTAAGTAACTCCAAAATGGTAATTTCTTTTCCAGCTTTTGGAACAGTCTTTTCCAAAGGCATGCAAAAAACTTCTTCCCTTTTAGACAGCAGATCTGAAATTTAATTAACCTTTTTTTCTTCTTCTTCTTCATCTTTCCTTTAACCTAGCCCTCTCAAAAACTGAAATTGTAAAATAATTAAGAAATGGAGGCAGTGATTTAGCACACTGAATTGTTTATATTCAGTTTGCTTATACCCAGTAGTAATTTTTTAATAATGCATTATTACAAGCAGATGTGACTGTCAAGGTCTGAATTTAACAGTCTCATAGCAGAAGATCCAATACACATTAGATAGATGCCTTTGCCTGTCATCACCCTGCTACAGCACAGTCCTGTTGAACATGCAAAATTCCCCTTTCTGCCCAAATAGAAGTAGTTCACCACTGGTCTGGTCATCACTACCTTATTATTATCATATTTTTCAGAGAAATACAAAATTATCATGTCCTGTTTTGCTAAAACTACAGAAAAGAACAAAAAATAAACTTAGACTTATCTAAAAGCCTCTGAATTATACCACTCTAAAATCATATTACTGGCGGGCAGGCAGATATAATTTTCAAGTTATAAAAATGAAAATAAATTTTTAGTGCCCATTAGCAGGGGGAAAATTACCATAATGTTATCAATTACTGTCTTGCTAAACATTTAGCTGATCTCTCCAGTTTGCTGAGACAGAAGGGCATATAACATTGTGGCCTAGTGAGAAAGAAGTAATGAAGCCATTAATTCAATCATTTATAAAGCAACAAATTAACTTTCCTTCTTCACATGCACTTTGAGGTCTGAAAGGTTATCCATACCATCTCGGTGTCTGAGGACACAGGAACAGCCAGAGATTATATAGAAAAATGAGAGAAAACCAGGGTACTCAACTCAGGGTACAACTGCATGGAAGAAAATAAAAGAAAGGACTATAAGAGATTTATGGAAGGAAAGACTATGAAAGGATACCCAGGCAAGCTTCTCAAAATCCCACCCAGATCTGATATTTGAACACAGTGCTCTGCAATGCTGTGGGCCATGTGCTGGCAAACGATACCACAGCACAGGCATATTTACACACATGCTGCCCGCAATACCTATTTCTGACATGATTAGCTCAAACTTTAAGCCTTGTTTCTCCACCTACTCYATTTATCAGTGATCAAGGGAAAAAATGTAGATGACTCACTCAGACCTGTCTATRTTGCAGGTATAAATTAATCACATTGTTTCACTACCCAATGCTGCACCAAATGCAGGAGAAAATAGAAGAGAAAACAAGGAAACAAGACATACACCAGCCTGCAGGCAGTACAACCATTGAAAGGATGTTTGCAGTCTCGCAGGTRAACACATACACACAGACAAACATCCAGCCATTTACTGTAGTTCACAGGCTTTATCTAGTACTGTATACTTTTGGATACATTTTTCATCATTCAGCTTGCAGTAAATGATTCTGAAACCCTTTCTTACATGTTTGCGAGCTTTATACACTTCCACACTTCTTGCTGTCCCAAGCAAAAAGGAGAAAGAAGAATTAGAAGTGYTTTGGAAGCAATAAATCTATACAAATAATTTAAAGGCATTCTAAAGCCTCCTGTTTACCACTCAGTTATATTCCCACTGATACTYAAGCATGCAAATCAAACCTTGGTCAACAAAACACACTTTACAGCAGACACAAAATAKCTTTCATAGATTATTCACCTACGTGTCTGATTTGAAAAACAGACAYAATTCAGAAACAAGTCAAGATGGACCTAGAAATCCCTGCTGCCATTCAGCATTACAACCCCCAACACACAGGCAGCCCACTACCCACTTAAGGTGATACAGGCAGCAGGACTGAGTACATATGGAATCCTCATAACTCTGAAACCAGGTTGAGGTGTTCTGCACAAAGCCACCCAAACACATACTTCCATGCTGTTCTACAGCTGATAAGGACACACATTGAATTTCTACACGGTCCAAGTTACCAGGTACAGCATCAAGGRTCACCGAAAAAGGTGGCCCCCAGCACAACAGTATACTAAAGCAGGTACCACGGCTGGCCACAACAGTGGGAGTGAAAACAGTTGCAGGGAGTAAATGCCAGACCTGCTCAGGATTGCCTCATCACACACCTCATCCATGCTGACAATCTGCAGCTGAACAGYGTGATAAACTGCAGCACATATGCTCGCAACCATTAGGATGACAGCTCACTTCTAACAGCACACTAGTCTGCCATGGCTGCTGTCCAGTTTCTGCACCATGACAGTGAGTCGCTTCTGCACYGGAACAGGCACTTCCTTATACCATGGCATCACAGGCCTGAATAAAGAACCTCTGACCAGTCTAGAAAAAAAGCTTTTTTTTATTCAAAGGCAAGTTCAGGAGTGACTTAATAATTCCATATTACAAAATTAAGTCACTACACCACGCTTAACTAGATTTTTCCACTACAAGCACCAATCCAGTTGAGGTAGGGCAGAAATTCATGCATCTGATTTGTTTGCTTCCTCCATGAATTACTGTTYGGAGTTCAATCACGCCATGCTGTCTACAACTACCTGAAAGTAGGCAGCAACAAGGTGGGGGTCAGTCTCTTCTTGCAAGTAACAAGTGATAGGACAAGAAGAAACAKCCTTAAGTTGTGCCAGGGAAGATTTAGATTAGATATTAGGAATTTTTTTTTCACCTAAAGGTTTTTGAAGTATTGGAACAGGCTGTTCAGGGAAGTGGTGGAGTCACTATCCCTGTAGGTATTTACTAGACATGCAAATGTGGCACTTAGGACAGGGTTTAGTAGTGGYCTTGGCAGTGCTGCATTAATGCTTACACTCCATGAGGTCTCTTAGAGRTCTTTTCCAATCTAAATGATTCTATGATTCAATACAGTTCCCATGAACCATATGCCTCTCCCATATCATTAGGTTATGTTTAGGATGACCTTCCCCAAACAATCTGCAGCCTATAAAAGCTGTAAATGCAATAGTCAAAAAAACTGTCGATAGATTCACAAACAAAAGAGATCCTACAGAATAGCACAGTCAATTCCTAACACGACAAAAACTTTCTGAGTGCTAGGGAATGCATTTCCATGTATCTTAACTTTCAACACAGATAATAAAAATTGCAACACAGACTTGATAAGCAAG